CTGAAGGACGCGCTGCTGGAGGAGACGCCCGTCGGCCCAGACCTTGCCGTCGCTGCCGCCGCCGCAGCGGCCTCGGCCGTCGTTGCCGCCGCCACCGCCTCAAGGCTGCCAGGGCCTTCCGGCAAAAACACCTCCCACCTTCGAGTCGACCTCCAGGAGCCGGGAAACTGACTCAGCGGCGGCGGCGGCGGCTGCAGTACCACCGAGGGGACCCCGCTGAGGGTTGCACCTTGAGTCCTGCTCGTACCAGCGCCGGCATGTACGGCATCGCCGCCTCCCGTAGCAGCAGTAGCAGCTGCCGCCGCCGCTGCCGCCGCGGAGCTCCCAGACGGCGACGACGCGAGCGGACTGTCGGCCTGTACGGGGGCCTCAAGGGGGCCGAACCGCAGCTGGGATTGGGATACGGATACCGCAGTACTGCCGGACGAGGTGGCGGCAGAGCTCTGGGAAGTGGGAGGTGGGGCGGGAGGGCCGAACCGTCGAGTGGGCTTGGCGCCCGGTGACTTGGCGGCTGACGCTGCATTGCCGTCACCGCCGACTGTGGCGGCTGCGGCGGCGCCGCTCATGCTCATGGTCGAGGGACGCACAGGCGGATGCGGCTGCTGGTGCGGTTGTTGAGATGGCGGTGGTGGTGCCGCGCGGTTCAGTCGAGAGCGGCGGAGAGCAATGAGGGACTCCAGTACCGGCAGCACAAGGCGGCTGTCCTGGGACGCCTCCGGGACGAGGTCGTTAAGTGCACCGGCAGCAGCAGACGCCGGAGTTTGCTCCGAGGTGATGCCGGCGGACGCACTTATGGAACATTTAATAACTTCTACTCTATTTTCTAGCTCGATGATTTTGGTCTTAGGTTCGGAGCTGTGTTCGCCCGGCGTGGTGAGCATGGGCTTGACGACATGCTCAATCGGAGTGCTGCCGCCTTCAAGTAGAGGTTGAGCCTGATCAAGCTGATCCTGAACATTACTATCGGTTGCTTGGAAGGCGGGAGCGTGTTTGGCCCTCTCCCGGTCAAGCACGCGACGCCGGGCGACGGCCAAGCGGACCTCGCACGCGCTCGGCGCAGTGTGATTCGGTATAGGTGATAAATCCGTTACGTTCGTCATGAAGTCTTCCAAGGGCTCCACAGACTGCATTAACACGCTGCTGACCGAGGCCATTGGGTGGGCACTCGTCCATTTGGGTACACCCTTCATAGCCAGGCTCTCCTCGCCGTCGATATCATCTACACCGTTATATGCAGAAGTTAAACATTTGAGCCGGGGAGAAACGTTAGTCCAAGTATCCGGCTGCCGAGGTTGAAATTTCCGAAAACAGGCAATTACCTCCGGCAGCCCGCATCTTTAGACGACCTTCCCGTGCATAATGCATAGCTGCTAGGTTGTGTGCTGCTTGGACCGGCATGTAGCTTGTAGTGTCCTCAATCCATAATGTTCGTCTAGCATGTAACATTTCTCTTGGCGGCAGGCAGGACGTGCTGGACGGGATTTCGAATTTAACAACAAGCCTGGCGCGGTCACCTCCCAATTCTTGCGCAAAGTTCAAGGTATACCAACAGCGCTTTTGCTAAGTTGAAAACGGTATCCAACCAACGAAAAGCGCAAATTCAGTTGCCCTATGCGTAGGGTAAGCTGCAAGTAATGCTTGCATCCAGTTAACGATTTGTCCCTGGTACTCAAATCTGCCAGGCGTCGTACGTTCCCTGACGTAACGGCCAAGCCTGAAACTCGGGTTACTAACGCATGTAAATATAGGCTCCAAGCTCTCCTACTCCTTGGGCAATCAATCAATTGTTTTTACAGTAAATTACCTTCACATTTGTGCCCCGAATCTAAAGTTTGCTTCGACATCGTGATTCGAAGGGGACACGTGTGCTGCAATACTTCCAAGCATCCTTGGCATTACAAGGAATGAAAGATATATTTCGGGGAATCTTATCTGTCAATATCCAAATTATAATTAAAGAAAACAAATGTTTTCTGTGTATTTGCCGGTGTGTTGGTGTGTACGGCTGGACCGCACAGGGCTAGCGCAAGTTGCAGGAGTGCGATGGAAAGAATAAATCTGCGAACTCATGTTGACAGTACTGGTTTTCATTGCAGCTTCTGCCTAACCTACAGCGTTCAGAAGCAGAGTTGCATCGGTAGGCTCTCTGTTCGGGCTGGAATCGTTGCCATAGCTATCTTTCGCGGCGTTTGTTAGATTACCACCAAAATACAGAAAAAATGGCAACCGTCGCGCGAACCTTTTAGCCGATGTAGATGCGTTGACCAGCCAGCTGTCCTTGAGGAGGCGGACACAGTCAAAACTGCTCTTGCCATGCTCGCCGACAACCCTCTGGCGCGCTTTTACAGGAAAACCAGGCATACATGATATCTACTTGTTGACAAAGCAGCGGCTGGCTGTGGCCGATGCATCATCGAACGCCCGCTCAAGGTGTAATGTTTTAGAGTCGTTTTACGACCTTTCGGATCTTTGTCAGGAGATCGTCGCGACCTTGGAGCTAGCGGAGCCCCTAATAGTTCCTACATGCAGACCATTTTGTCTACCATGCAAGTCCGAGCTTATCTCAAAGAGCTCTGTTTCTTCTTGGCCTCAGTCAGTCAGCTGCGCAAGTAAGCTCAGCTTGAGCTTCCCAGTTATTTGGACTGGTCCGATTCCCTTTCAGTTGGTACCCAAGCCTATGTGATCCGCCTCGCCTTGCTCGTCGTCGTCGTCGACATCGCCGGCATCGTCATCTTCCCCGTCTTGGCGTCTACTAACCCCACCTCCCCCACCGAGGACGAGCCTACTGCCTATGGGCTCCTCACAGCGCTGCTTCCGGCCTTCACCCTGTCCGATTTTGTAGGGACGGTTTGAGCAACAGGGCGGCAACAGCTTGACGCTGCGTGTGATGCGCGGCGGGACGCCTGCCCACCCGAGCAGCTGGAGGAGCTTGAAAAGGCCACAAACGATGCCACTACCGATGGTGCGCAGCTGTGAAGAGGATTGCCTCTCGTTAACTCTATCGCCTCCGCACGACGAACCTATACGGCATATTTCTGACACGCGCCAACATTCCACTCATTACTGTCCGGTTTGCGTGTTTCCACGACAACTCTGATGCATTCTACACAACTGGGATGTAATCATGTACGTAATCTTCAACGAAACGCCATCCGCAACGGATGCGGTCCTCCTCAGCAAACCAGTCCACATGGTAGAAATAGCGGAAGGGACCCCCCCCAATACCTGCACGGTCACTTAAAAAATTTGATATGCCTGAAGTGCGAGGTAGGGTGGTACTTACAAGCGATCTGCTTACAAGCGCCCTTGCGCCCTCGTATGCAGGTGCGGGATGCACACCCCTACGGCCACGTAACACACACACACACACTTGCTCGTGATAATCAATAATCTGTACCTCTGAACATCTTTCATGTAGAGTGGCAAATTCTGTGTGCATGTGGTCAACTGCCAAGACGTACATGCTGCTGCTCAACGCTGACCACCTCTCGACCCCACGATGATAGACTGCTCCTCCCTCCCCGGTGCACTGGAGCAGTTCGCCCAGCTGCAAGTGCATTTTGGCAACATTCACGTCTCACAAGGTCCTGAGCACAACGGCCTGCACGAGATATCTCGATAGGTGCTTACCTTCCACAGGCAGTTGCTTGGGCGCCACATCTGCCATCTTCACGTGTGGTGCACTTGCAAACAAAATCTGGAGCCCACTGTAACAACCACACTTGCAAACACCGCGACCTGCTGACTGCATCCAGCAGCTCCAAACAGCCTACCGTAGTACGAAGCTATGGCGGCAAGGAGTGATGATTCTACATTTTGGCAGACGGACTGAAGAGTATACGGCAGAAAAATTGGTATACGGCATCTGCAGGAATCCCTATTGATTACATCGACACACGCACCAGGCTCTGGACCTCTGGCCGCCCCGACCTCACCACCTCGCCATGAGGAACCCCATCCCGCATCTCAACTCGCAGAGCCTGTGGTGTGGGTTTGTGCAATGAATTGTGCGAAGTGAGGGTTCCACACCTCCTATGTAATTGATCACGCCAGAGCAGTAGGCAGGTTCGTTCAATACCATTAAGTGCCTCTAATACCTACTCTATCTGCCAGGTGCGTGCAGCAGACTCCTTAACCACAGGAGGAGAAACGACCGCAGCGACAGACGCCTTCATGGGCACCATGATTTGTACTAAATGGCCCTCTACTATTCCACCTATCCCGTGTCAGTATGATACACACATAAATATCTGTCAGATGCTGTCAACCAACCAACCAACCAACCGATGCCGTACGCTAGCTAGGACAGGACGGCAACCAGGGACGGATTGTATCACACAACATCCCCACTGCCACTCCCACCGCCAGCATAATGACGTGTTTCCTTTCCCATCAGCGTTTCACATATATTCATGCCAGCATACAATCCATGACACAAAAAAACTAATTTTTGTCTTCCCTGAATGATCTTTTCTGCTGGTAAGTTCTTGTGTCCAACATGTCCATCATCACCACCACCATCATCATAATCACCACCATCACCGATACCAAAAATGTCAATATATTCATCATCATCATCATCATCATCATCATGATCACCCCACATACTTGATGTTCTAAGACGATTCTAAAAATTGAAGGCACTGGTTCCGCACCTATTGCTTATCATGCCACCTTACCCCCAAACCCATCTCCTCCCCTCCTCACCACCATCCGACACCACGGATGCCTTTCACCCTTTCATCTCCACCATCACCATCACCACCCCGAACACCACCACCACCACCACTTCCAGTCCGGTTCTTAATATTTATTGGTTACCATACTATTGTTGGGTACTATATTGGAGTTAGATTTCAAAAGTGTTCATTTGGGTCCCTCTCGGGGATGTGTTCAGTGCTAATGGTGCTAACCAGGCCCCAGTGGTGGCGATGGTGTTGGTGATTCCTGTGGACATGCTAACGCCCTCGTGACGGTGGCAGGTACCAGTACCGGGCAGCTAACAGTGTATGGCAACTCGAGTAACACACGTGCCGTCGGATGATGATGCTGGACCAGTGTGTGCGAGTAATGATCCTCTATCCTCTGTGATAAGGAGGTGGATGCACCCCCATGCCGGTGGACGGTGACGAACCCTCCCGGCTGCTATGCGGGGTGAGAGGTCGGCGAGCAAACCGACCGGCCGACCGGGAGTGGAGCAGAGTGGTGCAGGTGTGCCGCCGTTGCCTGGTCCGGCGGCGGAAGGTTCCTCTGGATGTAGTTCGTGGTGGTGATGGTGGGGGGTTGCTGAACCCGAATGTATAGACACTAATAAGGGTTTGGCACCATTGGTAAGGCGCGACCATTGCCCCCGGGACATCCCGGGATCGATACCCGGTAGGGTCAAACGTCCTTCCGATGGTGGAAGGCAATGCGCCCCTAGTTGATGGACGGTGGTGACCTGGGATAAAGTTAACCCGCGAGCCGACCAGGAACGGAATTGGGCCGCTGTCGACCCGGCAGATTTCGTTGGATGCTGGTGGTGGGTACGGAACCTGAGCGATCCACTGAGAAGTTGACGAGGGTGACTGGATGAGGGTGCCCCGAAATACCCGCGGGGAAGGCAGGGTTTCGCAGGGTAGCTGCCACGGGCGAAGATACAACCCCCTGTTTCACACTGACTTCACAAAAGTCGGCACTCAACTCAACTCAACGCACGGGAGATGCGCGGGCGAGGGTGTTGCTCCCCTACTGGAAGGCATGCACTTGCCATTTACCATTAGCGTCGCTATATCACCACCAACACGCCATCACCATCGCCACCACCACCACCGCAGAAAGGCAGCCCGCATGCAAAGCAGCTAGTATGTCCGTCCACGTGTGCGTGCTTGGACAAAACGGTGTGTGATGTCGTACATTGCTCCCCCCCCCGGGGTTGGGGAGATGGCTGTCCTTGCTAAACATGACCAAATGAGCAACACGACACACGCACAAGCAGCATACAGACAAGCACACTAAGATAGACATAGACAGACAGACAGACGCCTGGACAAGGCAAGTGTGATGTGCTAACCGCGCCGTGTGGGCTAATGCAAGGCCGAGTCCAAAGAGCCGTACGGCCAGCTGGTACAGAAATACCCGGGGACATCATCGCGAGCCTCTGCGGGAAATTTTCATTTAAGCAGCACGTCTTTTTTTCTGCCCTCATCGCCCCAGCCATCGTTCTCGCTGTCGTACATGAGAGGCCAATGCAGGAAGCATCAACATACTACAGTTTGACAAAATACGATGCAGTACAGTACGACATCAATAATGCGTGTCCCAACATTACAACAGCACGAGCCCTCAACATGCTATCAATGGCAGTGGTGAGCACAACAATAACAACAGCAACAACGATGTTCCTGAAGGGAAGGGAAAGGAAGGAGAAAGGATCATATGGCCTTAGCTCCGCAGCTGCAATTAATGCTCCACCAACAACCCCGGTGCTGCTATATTGCCGTACGGTGTACTGCTTGCCGTACTGCTCGCCGTCTCACTTGGAAGCTCCTGCTGTTGGGAAGTTGTACGTGTGCAAATCACCGTAAATGATGCTCCTTTCACCTCGTGCACGTCTAAACACGGACGTCCCAACCCCGTACGGCACTACGTCGCCTCTGCCTCGTCCCCCTCTCCTACGCTGTTAACGTAGGGCTTTGGGAAGGATTATTACGAACACGTACGGACATACGGCAAAACGTACAACACGAAATGAATTTTGAAGCGCAAGCATACATCCACACACGAATTTTCCCAAACACCTTGCACACATACACACGCATACACGCGCCCAACATTGTAAGCGAACGGCATGATCAAAGCAAATGTATGTATGTATGTATGCATGTGCTTGATTGCAGGTGATTGATGGGCGGGGACGCGATTCTACACAGATCAAGATGTAAAGTGTTCATGGGATACATACATACATACATGCATACATACATACATACATACATACATGCATACACATACATATGAACGCTCTCTCTCCCGCGCTGGCGTTATGCGCCCCGCCGATCATCTTCGGAACACACATACATACATATATATAGGTCAGGCACTACTGGTAAGGCATGCACCAATGCCCCCGGAGGTTTCGGGTTCGAGACCTGTCAAGGTCAAAAATCCTTCCGATAGTGGAAGGTAAAGTGCCCCAAGTCGATGGACGGTAGTGACCTGGGATAAAGTTGACTTGCGAGCCGACCAGGAATGGAGTTGGGCCGCTGTCGACCCGGCAGATTCCGTTGGATGCTGGTGGTGGGTGCGGAACCTGAGCGATCCACTGAGAAGGTGACTATGGTGACTAGATGAGGGTGCCCCGAAATACTGGGGCAGGCAGGGTTTCGCAGGGTAGCGGCCGCAGGGTGAAGATATGACCCCCCTGTCCCACACATCATGCATGCTGCGATGGCGTTCACACATCTGACGCAACTCCCCCCTGCAGTGAGCATGACGCACTATATGCGTTAACGTTATGGCGCTCATTGTGGCGCTCCTTTCGAAAACATACATACATACATACATACATACATACATACATACATACATACATACATACAGCACACGCAAACACACACACAGACACACATATTCCTGGCAAAGCCCAACCACAATATATACAACAGCACACATACACCGCAACCGTTCTTCCAACTGACACCCAACCAACTCTTCTCGCCCACTTTCACGAGGCGCCCCCCGTTCCTAGCACCGCCGACCACATACGCAGAGTCACGCACCCCTCATACAACATTCGCAAAAGGGGAGAAGGGCAGGAGACAGCGCGGGAGGATATCTTACCAAAAACGTTTCAACCCGTCAACAATCAAACGTTCCACCGCCGACATTACCTCCATCCCCCCTCCCCCCTCCTCCTCATCCACGAGATTAACATCAAGAACGCCCACAGTAGCACACCCACACGTTTTTTCAATCCCCGAAATAAAACCAACCCCTGCAGTACGGTATGATAATTATACTAAAATTAAACTTCAAACCTTAGCTCCCCCCTCTCTTCACAGGGGCCCCCGCTGCCCCCTCCGAGGGGACAGGGGCCCTCCAACTGCACCCCCGCCGGCGCGAAGGCCCGTGGGGCTCAGCGGCTCGGAGGCGGCTGTGGACTTGCGCCGCGGGTAGCTGGACTCGATCGGGGGTAGCTGGACTAAATCCCTAGGGACGATGTACAACCCAGCTGTGCCTTGCTGCTGCTGGTGGTGTTGCTGTACCGGTGGCGGCGTCGGCGACGCCTGGCTGGCGGGCGGCGGCCCCGAGTGGGCCTGCTGCCCATTGCCGCTGGAGCGTCCCGTCGCGCTTGTACGGCCGTTGCCGCTGGTGCTGGAGCTCAGGGACAGCGCCGCCGCCGGGCGAACGCCGCCGACGCCAACGCCGTCGGTGGTGGCGGAACCGTGGACTGACGGCGGCAGTTCCTGGCCGCCGACGACGCCGCCGGCGCCAACTGGACCCGGTGCGCTCACAGCATTGGAAGCTGCCGTCGTGGCGGCGGCAGAAGCGCGGGAAGCGGCGGCGGTGCCTCCGCCTCCCGGAAACCATGACCAGCGTCCCTTTCCCAGCTTGTGTGTCCAGGCGAACAGCGCCTTCCCTCCGGCTCTGGAGGACTTGGATGTTGCGGGAGCTGCCGGCTGCTGCGGCTGTGGCTGCGTTTGCTGCTGCTGCTGCTGCTGCGCCGCTGCCGCCTTGCCCGGGCTCCCTCGCGCAGCGGCGGATGTGGCAGCGGCAGCAATGCCGCCGCCACCATGGCGCGTCACCGGCGGCGGCGACGCACCCCGGCCGCCGTGATTGTTGGTGTCGCCGCTTCCACCCGCCACCGCTGTCGTCGAAGGACCGCCGTTGGCGAGGCCGCGGGCGGCGGCCTGATGTCTGTTGGCGGTTTGTTGTGGCGGCTGCGTGAAGGAGTGCCCTGGAGAGCCCAGGACCGCGGAGGTGTTGTACGACCCTCTCCGAGCCGCCGACTCAAAGGTTCCGATACCGAGTGGGCTGTCGTCATCGTCTGGCGGCGGCGGCAGCGGCGGCGGCGGCGACACGGCGGAATGATGGCCCGAATGCTGCGTCTGCGCTGTCCGGAGGCTGCTGGCCTGCCGCCGCGGCGGCGCCGCCGACGCCTTGCCCATAGCCATCATGGAATCCATGGGGGCGGCAGCGCCGCCGCCACCGACCACGACCCTGCGCCGTGCGGGAACTGGAGGGCCACTTGGCAGGGAGCTTCCCTGCCTCGCCACACCGCCGCCGCCGCCGCCGCCCATGAAGGCCGACGTTACCGAGGCACGCAGTACATGCACAGAGGCCTGTCGTGAGTAGTTGTTGCTGCTACTGCCGCCGCTGCCGCCGCCGTGCACGTGGCCTCCGCCGAGGGAATGCCCGCCGCTGCCGTACCCCCCATGGGTGCTGAGGCCTTGCAAGAGACTATGAGACTGGTTGGCTAGACGTAGAGAGGGAGGTCGGGGAGACTCGTCTTGTTGCATGGCAAGCAAAGTCCGTAACACCGGCAGTACAAGGCAACCGTCCCGCTCGCCTCCCTCCCCGTCCCCCTCCCCCTCGCCCTCCCCTTCGCCTGCCGGGCCCGCTAAACTGCCGGGCATGCCGCCGGAGGAGGAGAGGGCGCCCAGGGCCGCGGCGGCGGACCCTGCGGTGCCGGCGCCGACGACATATGGGTGGTTGTACGAAGCCTTGCGTGAGTTGGGAAGCACGTTGGTTGCGGCACTGCTGCTGCCGCTGGCCGTGTTGGCGATACTGCACACTCCGTTATTTGTGTGCTGGTCGATGCCGGGGGAGAAGGACGCTGAGCGCTGCGGCAATTGAGTGCCGTCGGGCAGTGAGAGATCTTCTGGGAGCTGCAGGAGTCCCCGGGATTTGCGCTCCTCCATGACCACAGCGACCTCAACTGCAGTCGGTGCGTTCGGCTCTGCAGGTGGCAGTGAGCTGGTCATGGTTTGTTCCGCAGCGTGCGTGCGGAACAGGACGCTGTTGCGCGGGATGTCGTGGATTCCGGGTGCATCTTGGTTCGATGCGCTGCCTCCAGTTAGTCTTCCTCCATTAATTGATAGTTCCGTTCCGCTAATACGCATTATGGCTGCGGGTTGCCCAGCTCCGGTGTCCGTGCCCCTTACAAAGATGCTGCCATCGAAGCCTCCGTCGCCCAGGGCTGCTCCCGCAGGCGCTCCGTCATCAAGCTGCTCAAAATCCCAAAGGATATCCTCTCGCTCCTTTGAAGCCCAAGAGGCTCGCGCAGCGGCGGCTGCCGCAAATGCCAGGTTGACAGGCTGGACTTCGGACGGCGCTGGAGCCGAAGGCTCAACGACATACGTAAGGCGCACCATGTGTTATTTTCAAAGAGCTGTATCCGACCAGGGAAGGATGAATACCGGTCTTGCTCGACCAAGGTAGACGGAACTCTAGCGGGTCTCTCACAGACGCAGCCTGACAGGAATTAGTGGCGCATATGTATCAATACAGCACCTCTGGTTATAATGCGCCCTTTGTCCTTGTGGTTCTGGCAACTTAGAATCTCCTCTACTCATGACTTCAGCACCTATCTGCAAGGGAACAGCAGTGATAGTAATAAATTGCAATAGAAATGATAACAAACCTTATACCATGGCCGTTTTTTGACCTAAAATCTAGGCTAACGATAACGAGGAAGAAGTGCATCATGTACGATAAGGGCCGGGTAGGTATCCATTAGGATTGCCCAAAATCCTTTGAAGGTAAGAGCTTTGAAGGATCGGTTTGATATTTACTGGCGTTTTTTCATGTATTTTTTCCTCACGTGTATCTGTCCCAGTGACATTTCCTCAGCGACTCACGATTACGGTAATAATTCGCCTCCCGACAGCTCACGGTGTAACCCTCAGCCTAATGTGCTAAAACATCTTGCGTGACATTAAATGCCATGGTACACAAAACACTTTGGTGCCTCGACTTTAGGAAGCGATGAGCCCTGAGCGCTTCCCCGATGTTGTCCGTGTTTGTAAATTGAGATTTTGATCTTTACTCGCAGATATTCTGTTTTTGATAAAGAAGCGCAACTGAAAGTGAGAACATAGTGCATATTGTGTAAATGGTGGATTGAGCGGTTGGGAGCCAACGAACATGTTTTATCCGTTTGATGAATAACGTGTGGAGCCACGAGAGCACCTGCATGCTAGACCATGTTATACTGGTCTAGCATGCTACTCTTGTAGAGTCACGGATATGATGCAATCCTGTTGGTCACGTGTTCGCATGTTTACCAGTCTTAGGGTGTATTTCCAGTGCGGATTGACCTCGCGGAATTAACTCTCTGTCCTCCATCGATAACTTGCTCAAACGGCTAAGATGTTGGCAAACTTTCCTCGCCTTTTTATGGAACGAAACTATGTGGTAAGCTTGTACCAAGGACTTCCGTGCCCTAACCCCTGGCCTTAATCCGCACTGGAAATAGACCCTTACGGCCGCGGGCAGGCTCCCATGCAAAGCAAAGTCATCATCATCGGTTGGACGCGTATGTAAAAAATACACTTTCTATATAATAAGTTTTAAGGATGCACCAAGAGTCTTTGATTCCCACAATTGCCTTCATGTTTATTAAAACTTATGGGAGCAGCTGCGCCGCCTGGCTGCTGCGGCGGTCGCGCTTGCTTGCACTCGCTTCTTAGCACCGGCAACAGGAACGGGACTAGATCAAAGATCAAACAGCGCAGTCTCAATAACCTTTCCAGCTACCGCTACCTGGTGCTACCGGGACCCTTGCAGACTACTTCTTTTCTCTTAGCATGCGACTCCTGCTGCTTTCCCGCCTAGATGCATGTCGATGCATCTCCGACCATGCTGTCTCGCGCTTTTGGGAAAGCGGTTTGAATTTAGGAGAGCTCCTCCTCGTCCGAAAAGACATGCTCCGGATGCGCGAAACATGCGCTGTACATTAGCAAATCAACCTACACACAAGCAGTAGGGACTTGCCCAACCAAGGAAAGTGCAATCTACGTAACAACGACAACAACAAGAAACAATAAATAAATTGAAAACAGTGCAACGGCAAGGGCGCAACAACAACAAAAAAGCAAACGTAAATCCAAAAAAGCAAAGCAACAGCACCCTATTCATCCCTGTTTCCAAAAAAAAGCGGGGACAGCACCGGCAGCAGCACTTTATGCTCGCAAACACCACAAACGTTAAAGCATGCCGCTAAAAGAAAGCCGCCTCCAAACCGCTCCACCTTTGCCGCGCCCCATCCCTGGGCCCCCGGCGTCATGATCTCACCGTCCGGGGGTTTGGGCACATCACAGGACATAACATGAACACCGCCAAAGGCGTCCCAATGACGTCAGGTCGTACGCCGTCGTCCTCATCGGCGCCACGCCTACCAAACTACACACGGCCGTGAAGGCCTCTTTGGCGGCAGCGAATGGGGGGGGGTGAATGGGGTAATGGCGCTTGCTGACATTACTATGATGATGGTGGAGCTGCAGCCCAGCCCAGCCCAGCCCAGCCCGAATCCAAATGGATGTATTTACGACGCCGTGCAGTACATTCCCGTCCCATACATTGTTGCACCTCCGCCATCTCGTGCCCGTGTCTTTGAATAACCGTCGTGTGATGTCCCAAAAGTTCCCCTCACCAACACCTAACTAATGTATGTATGTATGTATGTATGTGTGGCGGGGGGAAAGGGGCTTTCTGCGTGCTTCTCGCGCATCACACTCCAACATCCAACACCCTTCGAACACCTTTGGTGTCGAAACATGAGTTTTTGCCCACAGCGACAACTGCGCTCTCCTCTCCTCCCTCCCCCCTCCCGCCTGCAATATCAAGTGGCCGCACACACCGCCTCCCTTCTACTCGCCGCGCGGTGCGGTGTTCAGGCACCAACCAGCCACCGACGTCAGTAATTCCACAACCGCAAAATCAGCTGGATACGGCAAAATGAGTTGGCAGTTAACCATCACAATGTGCTATTAAACGCAGTGGCGCGTCATGTTACGCACTTCTCAGAGACCAGTACAGTTCAGCATTCGCTGTACGGCAAAAGCGCGGCAACCCAAACCATGCCTCATGGTACACAAAGACACATTTCACCTAAAGGCAGTTTCCTGCACATCGATTTAGTGCAGCTGCACGCGCATGTGCACAACTGTATGTATATATGTGTATATGTGTGTTTTCGCTGCCCTACAGACATACATAGCAGTCAGCAAGCAGCGGCCGCGCTGATATCATCTGGAACGGCGAAGAGACGCCTTCGGCCGTACATACATACATACATATATCAATCAGCACGTGGGGATAGCGGATCCACTGGGTACGCTGGACGGATCCACGCAAAGACTTTTCATTATACACATACAGACATACAGACATACCTGCATAACACACGTGAGAGTGCGTGTGCTCGGTCGGGATTTATGTGTAGTGCCGGTGCAGCAACAGCGACTACCCGCCTAACCACTTAGGGTGACTTAGGTTTGTTGTTGTAATAGTTTGTATAATAAAACACAGTGCGTGTGTGTATGTATGTGTGTATGTATGTGTGTGTGACTACATCGTGACTCTGCGCCAAAGCGCACGGCAACGAGGCGCGACTGCACGAAATGTACAACACTTTCACCACTATCTACACAACCATAATCAAACTGCTGCTCCTACTACCCTGCGAGATATTTACATCTGCCTGCGCGAAGGGCCCTCCGCTGCTTATATACTATCAGCCACCCAGCCTGCTCTGTGTCATTGAAAACATTTATTGCCGACATAATAATACCATGATGATGGTGATGATAATGGAGATAAAGGCCCCGGGAGCCCTAAGGCCCAACTTGGCCTGGGCCTGGACCTGCCAACCCGGACAGCACACGGACCAGGGCGGCGAAGACGGCAGTGCAGTGCAGTGCAGTGCGGCCCCCACCGGTGTCTGACATGGGAGGTCGGCCTCTAGCCGTGCGGCCCCGCGAGGGGCCTAACAGCCCTCGCGCCGTCACATTTCACATTGCTCCATTGAACGGTTTTGCGCATGGAGAGCGGCGGTAGCGGTAGCGGTAGCGGTAGCGGCGGGAGAAGGCTGTTGCTGCTGCTCGAAAGCTGCAGACAGCAGCCCGCGACGGCTGCGCGACGACGGCGGCAAGGACGGCGGAACAGGCTGGCGGCGGCGTACGACGCCCGCAACGGCAGCGGCAGAGTCTGACGGACCGACGAGGCAGCCAGCTAGGTCCGCGGGTACGGCACATTGGGGCTGTGGGCCGTCCGAGGCGCCAGGGACTTGATCCTCGTGTTGCTGCGGCTGTAGCTGTAGCTGGGGCGCATGTTGAACAACCGAGGCTACTGGTGGTGGGGACTGTACGGCGGCGGCGGCGGGGAAATACGGTGCAGTGGCGGCAGCTCCAAGCGGGGCCCGTACAAAGGCCGGCAGGGCCTCCGCCACCGCCGGAGTCGCCGGCGAAGGTGATCCTGCCGGGCCAACGGCAGTAGCAGCAGTATTAGTAGTGTTCGCAGTTGCAGTCCGAGGGGAAGATAGCGCCGGCAAGGTTGTTCCGGAAGGCATATGTAAGACGTTTGTGGCGGACGCCATCACCGGTGGCCACGCCTGCAGCTTTGTTGCCGGCGACGCCGCTGCTGCTGCCACCGCCGTGGGAATCGCCGATCCTGCCAGGCAAGCCTGGTGCGCCAGGGGCGACAAGGTGGAATTTGCTGTTCCCTGCTGCTGCTGCTGCTGCTGCTGCTGCGGGGCTGCTGCTGCTTGCATTGCTGCGGGGCTGCCGCTGCAGGCTGCAAATCCCGGAGTCGCCGCCGCCGCGACCGGTTCCAATTGCGACGGCGACGGCGACGGCGTTGGCAGAAGCTTGGCAACGAGAAGCAAGTGCTCCGCGCTGCCGGTCGTGGCGTCGCGGCAGTAGTGAAGCTGTAGCGCTCCTGCTACAGCGCCGCCTCCGCCTCCGCTAGACCGGAGTGATGCCGGCGGAAGAAGACCGCCGCCGTGTCCCTCACCGCTGGTCGCAACTGCCGTACCATGAACCGCCGCAACCGTACGGCAGCTTGTGCTGGTACAGCTGCTTGTCCGCAGCTGCGACACTGCAGCGGCATCGCCGACGCCGCCGTCGGCTGTGCCGCCGGGGCCCGAGCGCCCCGTCAGGAACGGCGGCGGCTGATTTCTCAACCATGCCGGAAGAAAGCGACCAAGTCCATGTGGCGAGTGTTGATGTTGCTGCTGCTGCTGTTGGTGTTGGTGTTGATGTTGTTGTGTCCCAGGCTGCGGTTGGGACCAGCTGTCGAATTCGTCGTGGCTGTCCGTAAAGAAACTGTGCCCCGGCTGACGGGGTCGCGGGCCCAGGTCGCCGTCGACGCTGGCGCGTACGGCCTTGAACTGGTTGCTGTGGCATGGCTGTAGCGGCGGCAGACGCAGGCTGATTCCGCCGCCGCCGCCACCACCGTCCGCCACGTCATCAGTGCTACAGTCACTGGACTTATCACTGATGTCGCTGACGTCGATTACCGCTCGGGGCGCATCGCGCGTGAGGCTAGGTGTTGGTACGACACGGTACGACGACGTGCTGCGGTCGCGGTCGCGGTCACTGAGTGCCGGGCTGTTAGCGACTGTGGAGGTGCCGCTGTTGGCGGCGGCGCCGGCGGCGCCGGCGGCCGCCGCGACCAGGGGTAGCCGGTAGCTCTCCAGGGATTGCCGACGACCTTGTTGGTGCTGATGGTTGAGGTGGTTGTGATGGTGTAAGTGGTTAAGGTGGTTGTGGAAAAATGGTACCTGCTGCGGCTGTAGGGTGGCGCGGCGTGGCATCAGCGCGCAGGGAAGTGTCCGGGTGCTGCCGCTGCCAGTATTGCCGCCGCCGCCGCCGCCGGCAACACAAAGCAGTACCACGTTGGGCGCACCGGCGGCGCCGGCGCCGGACGTATCTGACGGTGGCAGCGGCGGCGCTGCTGCCGGCGCCGCCGCGGTCGGCATTACAGCCACTACCCCCACGCCCGGAGGGTGTGGATACGGGCTATGGCCGTGAAGATTTTGGTTTTGGTTTTGATTTGGGTGCGGGTGTTGTTGTCGCTGCGCGGACCAGACACTGTCCCCCGTAGAGCGATTTCTCCTGGAAGCGATTCTGATCTCGTCGTTGGGCGGAGCGACACCGGCACTGGGCAGCATTGTCGCTACGTAGGTGCTCAGCAGCGGCGCGGTCTCCCCTTCGTCGTCGCCAGACGTCCACGAACAGCCGCCGCTACAGCCGCTGCCGCCGGCAGGGCCTCCCTCTTCGCAGGCGGGGTTACCCTGGAGGGGCTGTAGCAGCGAGGAGGAGGAGGAGCAGGGGGAGGCGGCACGTGTCGTCGGCGGCTGTACTTGGCCCTGTCCCACTGCCACCGCCACCGTGGGCCTCCTAGGGGAGATGACGGCGCCGACGCTGCTGCTGCTGGCGGCGGCGGCGGGACAAATCGAGCTGACGTCATTGCCGCTGCTGACGTTGCTGCCGCTGGGGCGGAGAGGCCCGGGAGATTGCGCGCTGTGGAGGGTCCCTGCTACTGCCGGGGTAGCGTTAGTAAGTGTGTGTGTTACAGCGTTAGTGGACGTCGGTGGCTGCTTGAGTAAAATTCCTTCGATGTCTTCGCTGCGGCGATGGTACGACATGTTTTGCTGTTGAGCCTTGGAGGGTGTGAAGTTGGGTTCGGGTGCTGCTGCTGGCACGGCGGCAGGGTCGGGGGCCTGGCAACCCGGGGCCCCTAGACCGGCTACCCAGGCGCGCGTGTCGCGCAGCTTATCTGGTTGGGCTGCATCAGTGAGCGCCGCAAGTCCGGTTGATGTGAGGTGAGCTCCGCGGTGGTGGGATGTTTGGGCATGCGAGTCGAGAGCTGCCGAAGAGCCGTCGTCGTTGCTCATCGAGCTTTCGACTTGCTGCGGTGTTGGCGGATAAATGATTAAACTGGGCGACCCTGTGGATGTCATAACCTTTCGTCCATGAGTAAAGACGACGGTTTGACATTCGTTCATTTGTTCGGTACGCTGGGTAGCTGGAGTCATAGGTACAGTTTATGTACAAAATAAACAGGTTATCAGATGGTGTAGGACAGTTGCCCAGTTGGTAATCGTCCCTGCAAGGAGAGGTGACGGCCGGTGGCAGAGGTAAGACGCCTTACTCGGCGCCGGCATCCGGGGTTCTAAATCGAGAAGTCTACAAAATTTATACCGGGTTAGTATAGCAGCACATAAATATGGGATAAAAAGCTTTAGAAGCCGAACCTTTGAAATAACGCGGAATCTCCCCTTTGCCTCCATGCAAAAGAGGGGAAAGCCTCATTTGCAACCCGCGCGCAGGCTTCAAAAATGCATTCCAGTTTCGCGGGAAAGCTCCATCTTATTACCTTCTTAATAATCCGTGCAAATTCGCTGCAGCCTTCAAGCGCTGTGCTGCCTGGAAGTCACCGTGTACCCATCCCGAAGCACAGCCGACATGGAGGTTTTAAAGCCCAAGATATCACAAACAACATAAGTAACATTCAGGACTTCAAAAGCTGCCCCAAGCTGAAAGGTACAAACGGCGTGCACGCTTCACCGCCACAAGTCAGTATTAGAAATCGCTGTCACAGTTGAGAGAACTACGAATAGTCACAAAAGGACAACGCTAAAAGCAAATATTAACTCATTACTGTTGATCTTCTCCTCTGGACGAAAGGTATAATAGTGTACGACTAGTAATGCGACGTAGGAGCCAGCGATGCGGACGCAGGGCATGACCCGAGTAAATTCATCTTTCCGGGATCAGCAAATAACATGATTAATCGAAAGGTTAACTGCTCCATACCTGAAGTTGGTAGGGCTTAACGATTTGCGCGTCGCATCATACCGTATGCATTAGCAAGGTAGCAATTATTTAAGTTTTATGGCTAGTTTAGGAGATCAGAATGAGTTATTCAGTCAGATCAGACTGTGAGCTGCTCTAGGCCTCAACGTATCAACGGCTTGCCGACGATGCACATTCGCTTCACGCCGGGTTACTTGTCACCTTCCTTAAGAAAATCACATGTCATATAAAAATAACACAGCATTGCATTATTTTTGCGGATCCTAGTAGAAAGTGCGCAAGCGTGGAAGCAGTAACAATCTTAAGCGCAATGGGCCATCCCTCGCCTCCCATAGTCCGTGGCTAACAAGTAGCAACAACAATTAAGGCATCCTAAAGCTATAAGTATAAAACGCCTGAAAATCAAACGCCGTCACATCTGAGTCATCAGAGAGCCGCTGGACATAAATTATACTGAAAACTGTATTCAATAAGAAGGCGATGGCCATGCACAACAGGCGCATCCATACTATATCCGCAATTTTCACAAAAGTTAAGGTAACCTGTGCACATGGTATGATATGCTGCGGCAGCTTGGGTCTTAACACTTCAAATCATCCAACTTGTCAACTGAAGTACTCCAACCCGTCCACGCAAAAGCAATCGCAACAACCATTTCTCCAACCCCACGTCCTCCTTCCCCGCCTGGCCAACAACCCCAGCCTCAGCGCCACCACAAGCCTTTCCACCCATCCACCCCAACCGCACCAATACACACACATCAACACACAACACACACACCAACACACACATACATGCACACCTCCTTCGAAGCTCCCCACAGCCCCCGAGACTACCCGCCGAGAAACGCAACCAAGGATGATGATGACGACGATGACGACGATGACGACAACGATGATGATGATGATGACAATGTTAATTATGAGCGACTCCGAAACCATCATAAAATGTAAACGGCATTGGTATATAAATGGATATACCGCCAAAGCCTGCATGCATCCAACAGGCCGCTTAAAGCGTCGTTTACCCTCCCCCTCCCGCACCAACCGAGTGGGTGGGCCCCCAGCTCCACCTCGCCCCCAACCCCCATTACCGCTCCCGCTCCCCCCTGCACGATGCGAGATCCCCACTCGGCCACCACCCACCACCGCAAGTTGCTCAGCGAGTACCACCGACACCAACAGGGCCACATTCGAAAGAAACATCCGTCCTTGCCGTCGTCATTACGTCTATTAACGCCGTACACGGTGCGGTACGGTACGGTCACGGTACGGATGCATTCATGCGAGAGGCGAACGGAACGGGGAGAGCAACGAGCGAGGGAGAGGGCCCTTCTCCGCGCGCGACATGGGGGTCTAAGTATATACAAGAAACATAAATGTGAAAAGTAAATTTAAATTTGTGAATGGATGTGCAATAAATCGAAGCCCGTCCTCTTCCTCCTCCTCCCTCGCCTGGGCGCTGTCAAAGGCATTGGCCCCCCAAGCTCCGATCACGACCGATCCCAACTCTAATCCGGTCTGACAGAAGGCATTGGCCGTCCAGGAATTTCTTTACTTGTACTTTTAACTCTTTGATTTCACAAACACCGGTAAACACCCACCCGCCCGAAAGGCCATATGCGCATTTGATGCATGCCGTTTTGTGTCGGATTGAAAACCCTAAAACAGCTTATCAGTAAACCATTCATTCATTTGTGGCCAAAAGGGAAACGATTTTATCAATGATTTGGACGATCGCCTGTTGCGGAGCGCGTTGGAGATGCGCCCTGGAGCTCCGGGGCGTTGCGCGCTGTGGGGCCGGAGACCGGGACAGTGACGGAACAGTGACGGCGACTGACAGCGTTTGTGAAGGGTGGTGCGAGTGCGTGTGCGTGTGCGTGTGAGTGATCCTGATCCGCCCTCCGAGGAGAAGTAAAGGGAGGAGGAGGAGTACAACCACCTGTACGACCACCTCTTCTCGTATATAGTCATCACATGCAATTGCTAGCCTCGTTCTGCTCGTCACGTCGTACAGACGTACACAGAAAATTATTGTCTGTTAATGGGCCCTGCTGCTCCGACCGGGGTTTCGCGGCGGGCCCCCGGAGCCCCGGCCTGGCGCCATGCCCAAGTACGACGCGCCGCCGCCACCGCCGCCACCGCCGCCGGCATTGGGTGCGCCGCCGCCGGGCAGGGGCGCGCGAGGTGGCCGGTGGTGGTGGTGCTGGCTGCCGTGTCCACCGTTGCGATGGTGGTGGTGATGGTGGTGATGATGGTGGTGATGATGAAGTTGGTTGAGGTGGCCAGCGGCGTCTGACCCGGAAGCCAGGGCCTGCAGCAGACTGACGCCGCCACTCAGCCAGGCCGTACTGCTACTGCCAATGGCACCCATTCCGCTACTGCCACCCGCCGCCAGACCCGACGGTGTACTGACGGGACGCACAGCTGCGACGCTACTGCTTGGTCGCGGCTGCACAGCGCCTGACTGGGCCCCACATGCACCGGCGGCTGCGGCGGCTGTAGCAGCAGACGTGCTGAGAGCCGCCGTCGACATCGTCGGTGTGTGGGCTTCCGACGGAATCCCAAG